AACCATGTGTGTATGAATATATACAATATAAAACTTGTGTAAAATGTTTTATAACATTTGAATAAAAATATTACAATATTTAATTAAAGGAGCGATTGTTTAAATTATAGAGAAATATATATATATTACGTGATGTCACATCTACAAAAGAGATTATCAATGCGGAATGTCAATAAACAGTAAACCGCTGATGTTATATTGACTAGCTTTTAAACGAACTTAATGCACTTATGTACGCGACTGAAAGTAAATAAAAAATAGTTCTTGGAAAGTCTGACAAATACGTAATTGTCACAAAAGATTTATAGCCACGCGACTCGTGGATATTCACGATATTTTTATTTACGATTTATCGAAAAACAAATGAATAATGACTCAATTTTTTTTCGATTCTTAGTTCTCGAAACAAACAGATTCATAACGATCAATTGTGGAATCAAAATTAGTAATTGTCGTCTGACATTCATCAATTGTAATCGTAAGAATCGTGACAGGAAAGTTTTTCGCAAACCTACATTTTTAGTGTCACGTTCAACTGAAACAACATTATTCGCTCGAATGCATCTTCTTTGAGTGCAAATTGTCTAACGGGCAACTTTCTTGTCTTTCTATTTTTTGAAACTTTTTAGTCAGCTCGTGCCAAAACGCGACTTGATTTTCCTAGCAATTTTGCTATCTCTTTTATCCTCTTTTATCGTGCACGTTGTTTGCAACACCAGTCGTGCGTGTCTCAGTTAAAAAAGTTACAGAGCGATTCATATACACATAATCGATGCGCGAATTACAAACTGTTTAATAAATTTATCGTTATTATTAGAAACTAATTGAAATCCGTATATCGTGGGAAAATATCTAGGTCAAATGTTAATTTTGCACCGTGTATGATTACGTAAGCATTGCAAACAACTATTAACCATACACATAAGTTCACAGCTTTTATGATCGACCATCCGTGATCGCTCGGAAACATAAGTCGCAATAATTAATGCTTAATATAACAAAATTTGCCTGAGTCAAAGAACGAGCTTACGAGACAAAATTATCGAATCGAAATGCGAATGTCGTATGAGCTTTCGAGAAACGACAGATGTACTTATTGATTTATACCCATTTCCATCAATGTAAATTAACTTCAATCTTGATTCAATTTTTAGAACTAGAAAAAGATGAAAAGTAAGTTGAATCGAAATTAATGTTAATCTACATTGATTGAAACGGATATTAATTCATACTTTGTTAAATGACGCGTATAAAAATAACTCAAATATTAATTATGATAAGAGGCCAGCAAATTGAAAAATAAATTGAATGCAACAGACAAAATTAATTACGCGGTTAGACCGATAACACAAAACTTTGAATTTTAAACTTATATTACTCGGGGAATATTGTGAGTTCAAGACAATAATCTCCCACCCGTATTATCTCGTTCTGTATAAAAAATTAATTCTGTACTATCTGATAGAATTAATTTAAAAAAATGCGAAAAATACGTTGAATACTGAATACAGTGAAGCCCGATCATCCGACTTTCCGTTATCCAACATTCCATGACACGGAAACCGAAACGAACTTCAATCACGAGCTTTTGAGTTAACTGTTGTGAAAACTGCGACCACACGCTCGCTTCATTCAATTTAAAATAAATTTATCTTTTTAAAAATAATTGGTAAATCTGTTATTACAAAAAAATAGTCGTTCCAGAGGCTGTTCAACACCTGCGAAGCTTCGTGAAAGAAACTTCGAAAGCACGAAACTTATGCTAAATTTCCATTAGATGGTATTTCATTCGTTTTTGTGTTATTTCGTAATCAGTACGTATCAGGCCTATTTACGTCAGATACTCGGAATTTTACTATTGTATTTTTTTTCTATTATTTCAGAAACTTCAGAAAAACCGAGGTCACTAATAGCCTCGATCGTATTACGAGCACAGAGCAATATATATAAAGTATTATAAGATTCAACAACTGATTTCAGAACAGGCTTTATTCAACGTTAATACGAGAGGCGAGCTTAGGACTATGTTGCAAGTTCGGCTTACGAGAGTAGACTGATTCGATCAGAGCTAGAAGAATCTTTATTTCGACTAAAGCGGTGGAGCTTCCTACAAATTCTAATCAATAACGTGAGATTTTCAAGTAACAAAAATACACATGATAAAACTAAGGTATGTAACGATGACTCTAGAATCCGTTTGGAGATGAGTCAAAATATTTGTAAGACTGAATTTCAAAGGGATCTTTAGAATAGATAAAAAAAAGGTCAGAAAGGAAACAGTAAGTGAAACAAATAAGAAGAATAGCCGGAAATAAGGTTGTCAGGAATATTCAGGAACATGTGTAGAAAAACTTTATGTTAAAAATGTGACTTAACAATTGTTAACACATGGCACGTAACAGATCGACTCATCGACATGCTATACATTCTTCTTACGGACAAGCTGCACATCTATAAAGTGACTCTAGTTCCTTGTAATATAGGTATTGCACTAAAAGCAGCATTTATAATCCGTTCTAATTTTAAGATCATCTTAAGTAATATCTAAAAAAGGTTAGTACAGATTCTCTGATTAGTTTATAACATCTTAACACTGTATTTAAAATAATCTTAAAGGACCAACTACAAATAGTGGTCGAAGTTTGTTCACATTGCTTGAAATTTTCAAAATTTTTTGTACTTAAAACGAGATAAATATACAAGATGTCTCAAAATTCACGACTCAAAATACTATAGTAGGATAGTTCTCGAAAAATTAAGTAAAAAAATTGTTTGTAAATTTTTATTTTAAGCCAAGATTTTTGAGATAAGAATATAAAGATAGCCAATTATGAACTATGTATTTAGATAGCCACATATCTGAGTCGCGCGTGCGATAGTATTATAGGCTTTCTACAATAAGCTACTATCTAAGTTTTAAGTCTTGAGAAATTGACCGAAATCACAATCGAATGTGAAAAGAATAATCAACTATGATTGATCAATTTCTTCAAGCTTAAGATTAGCTAATGACTTATTCTAAAAAGCCCATTAAGGCTGGAGCACAGATCTTTGCATATCGCATAATGCATAAAGCATAAAAAAATAACAGTGAAAAATGTAAAAAAGCCTATCAGAGCCTACATCAGCTGTTCGGATGCACAGAAAATTCTTTAGTTTCGTGTGAATGTAACAAAACAACAAAAAAATATATACGTTTCAACTCTTCAATTCGGATCCTTATCAATTTAAAATATATTTATCAATTTAAAATATAAATCGAAATTATAAAAACACAAATTCCAAGTTGATGATTCCCGACAATTTAGTTCGTTTTAGTTCTTCTTTATCTAGCTTAGATAAAGTAAAAGTTGGAATTTGCGTTTATTGATAAATTCTTTCGAGCCTCACTTTATATATTTGTTTATAAGAAAATAAATCAATCAGAATCTTGTATTTCATGGAAAGAAAAGAAATGAAAAACTTTGATTGGTTCATTTTCTTATGCATTATGTGTGATACGTTATAGCGATTCTGTATTTCTCCCTTAGTCGCACTGATGAGTGCGCTTTCATTAAAACTTATAGTGACTATTTAAACTAAGAGGTACTCAAACCGCTGAGAGCATTGCGTATACAAATTTGAGGCATTACTGGGCATTACTAGACATTACTTAAGAGGATTGTGTATCATAATAAGCGGAGATTATGCATTACTAGGGTATTAATGGGCATTGCTAGGCATTAGTAGGCATTGATTTATACAGAGAAAAAAATAGTCTAAATTTAAATAATATATTTATTTGAATACTGCCAACTAAACATTTACTTACAATAAATAAATATTTACTTAATAAAAAGAAGTGATTGTTAAATCAAATTAATGTTTTTTGTATCAAATAAATCTATTTTTATATTTAATAAATATTTAGTTTGGTATTATTCAAATAAATATTTATTGAAATTTAGAATTTTTTTTCAGTGTACATAATTTTGATTAGCGATTTACCTCTTGATCTAAACCTATATAGTCTATAATTGACTATATTTAAATCCTTATATCATAGAAACTATTGGAAAAAAGTCTCTTTACAAGTTGGTAAAAAGACTTTTTCCCAACAATATCTTCGTTAAAAATGATCAAAATTTAAATTAAAAAAAAGATTTTTAAAGCTTAACATCTCTACTTTTGAATGATTACTATATTTTTGAATTTATATGAGTTTTGTAATTTTTGCATATAGAAAACTATGAGCAGGAAAAGATGAAAAATTTTCTTTTCACTTTGTAGGTCTGTAGCGTGTCCAAAAAAATTTGAACAAATTTTCGACTATCTGTCGTAAAAGCTTGAAACTTTCTCTACAAAATCGTTTTTTAAAAATATTCATACAATTTTTTGTTTCTGAGTTACTCGCGGATTAAGTAAAAAGGAACATTCTGAGCTTTATTGTTTCTACTTTATTGTTCGTAACTTCGTTAAAAATCATTGTATCGCAATTATAAATATAGATTCTTAAAGCTGAAACGTTGCTTTTTATCCTGAAAATCAAGGAGTGTAATTGTCAATTTTTTAAAAATAGAATATACGGATTGCTAAGTATTTGTATCGATTTGTAAAGAAACTTTCTACCTAACCCAATATATTATTTTAAACAAATTTATGAACTTCTTTTACTTAATTTTTCAAAAACTTTCTTGCATCGAAAAAGGAGAAAGTGAAGATGCTGAGAGCAAAAAGTGCAAGTAACACGAACAGATCTACGGTTTCTCTTTCGAATGTGCTGACCTAGCAGAAGAAATAGAGCAACATATAGTGCGTTTCAACGAATCGCAACGACATTGTTAGTTCGCTAGGTCTCAGCTCAGAGCTTTGAGGACTTTGAGGCCCCGTTGTGAGCCATCGGTGCAGTAACCGCGCGTGCAAATCTCATTCGCGCAAGCGCGGTAAGATTCAGATTCAAACACACTGACGCGCCTTCGTAAAGAACACGCGTAATCTCGAGAAAAATATGGTTAACTCACCGAGAGTTCCGCAAAGTAACAACAGTAAGGCAAGTGATGTAGGCAGTGCAATGAGAAGCCGGGGCTTCGCCCCGGACCGCCGCGCGACGCATTTTCCCAGCATCGTCAACGGTCCCCGAATCCACCTCCACATCCAATGGCGGTCCAGCGTCTAATGTCCTCGGCATCTATCCTCTCCTTTTTGCGTCGCTGACCTCTTCCCGACGCTCCCTCCTTTTTTTTTTGGCCCGCGAACTTTAAAAGTTTCAACGATCACTACACACACTGTTTCCACACGCGCCTTTCATCATGTCCCACCTCTGTTTTGCATTAACTCTATGTATATATAC